GATTATGATCTTACCTGTCAAACTTTTGATCATGTGGTTGTAGAAAATATCTAAAAAGTTCCTCACACTAACTCTGGGAGGAAATATAAACTGATTTGGCATGGGAGCATGAAAGGGAACTTCTCAACAAGGGAAGTTTATATGGCTATTATTGTTGCCTCATATTTGGAAACTTCACAAGAAATCACAAGTCAAAATGCTGAAACTCTCAAGCGAATGTGGAGGAAAACTTGATCAAATAAAAAGTGAAGACCTTTTTGTGGATGTGTTGGTTTGGTTTTGTAAGCTCAAAAACTCAACTTATTAGAAAAAAGATAGAAACATATGTTATTTGCTAGATGTGTGGAGAGAAAGAGGAAGACATGAACCATATTCGATTCAGACACACAAAAGAAAAAAATCAGTTGGAAACTAAGTGGGACCTCTTGAGTGTTATAAGAAGGGAATAATATGAATTTTTAGATTTGGTGGTGAGAAGTATGTTCTTCGGGCAAAGCAAATTTTATGGAAAAGCGAATATGCTTGTCTATCTATGTGATGTGGTGGATTTAGAAAGCTGAAAACAAATGGATTTTCAAATTAGTCTGGATCCATGAAAAGGAGCTAAGAATGAGTGGCTGAAATGGGTGAAGGTGAAAGAGGGGTGTACTACTGCAGGCATGGATCTGAAGAATGATATTGCTCCTATGATATATAAATATTCTAAGAGGGTAAGACAACCTTTTCTGGCAATCAGTGCTATGATATCTGTTGAATAAGTTATATCAATACGTTGCTTGGTAGTAGATGCAGAAAGATAGAAGCATAGCTGGCAGGAGGTGACTGCAGGGGGTTAGAGTCAAGATGAAGCTCTGATTTTAACTATGAGATGGGTTCTTACGAAGGCAAAGGATTAAGGGTAGACCTCAATCAATTGTACTCTAAAAAACTCAGAGGTGTTTGAAGCTTTGAATCACTACCTTGGTGTGTCCTCTAAGGTCAGATCTTTTGTGGAAGATATTTGCAGTTTGCTTGATTTAAGTATTGTTTCTTTCTTCTCAGTATTTATTGTAGTAACGGTTTTGTTTGTAGTAGGTTTCCTTGTATTTTTTTCAGGGGGAGGATGTTTACTCCACTATTTGCATGTATCTTGCTTCTTTAGCAAGATCTTTGGCTGTAATCACTTGATTGCTTGTTCTTCCTCTTTGGAGTTTTCTTAAAGTTGTAGATTGGTCGTGAAAAAAAAAAATCAATCGTATTTTTTAAATGAATATGCATTCTTTCATACAAGCCATATATTTTTACGAGAAAATATATAATATTTCACAATATACGTATGTATTTATGTTAAAAACGAAGAATGTATTTACCCGCTTAACCGTAATGTTGCTTCCCACAATAATTTTTGTTAAATTTATAGTAAATTGTGTACGATTGATTTATTATTAGCTTGCAAACTATATTTTTAAAATTTAGTAGGAAAAAGTGGTAATGAGTACTGTACTTTTAAAGAAAATTTATCCAGAGAGAGAAAATTCCATATGCTGCTAATTTAGTATCTGGAGACTGGATATAACGACAATAAGATGTTGGGAATACCCAACAATTAGGTAATCATTGGAAAAGATGTTTTAGGAATACTTTACAAAAGAATTCATATCTTTTCAGCAGGTACTATTACGTAGTTCGTGCGATACACGAGAAAATAATGGTGAATCATATAAATTAAAATAATAAAAAAATTGTTACGTCACTTTGAGTTACGAATGGATTTGAACACCTTAAGCCTTGAACGATCCTCTTACTTGAGCTCGACAACCTGCAATACGCAGAGTGGGAGTTTCTGGTGAAAACTCTGTGACGCTCAATTCCGAACTCACTCAATTTGTATGCGTAAAATATATGAATAAAGGCGTAGAATGTGTGTTATGGATGAAAAGGAACTTGTCGCCCTTATATACGGCTAATACCTTGGGGCTGAAGAGAGTTCTTGTTAAGGAAGAGATCTAACCAGATATTATATCTCTAACTTACTACGTCTCTATTTTGGCAAGAGTCCTTGAGTGAGTGGTCCTTTCCTTCTTAATTGGGTTCTTCCTCTCTTTACTGTTTTAGCCCATGGATCCTTTGTTCGTGACTCTGACCTCTTGACGTGTTTGTTGTAGCCTTCTCGAGGTGTATCTGACCATGTAAGGAGTTCTAGACCGACCTCGTCCTTAGGTTTATCCTGCCCTCAAACCACCAGACCTTGATACTTTGAGGTCGGTTACCTTGTTGGGATCCTAGAGGTCGGCACCTCCAAGTCCTGTCTTTTATGGTAGCTCGGTACCTTAGGACTATATACGAGATACTTGACCAAGCATCTTACTTCTGTTTATACAGGAGCTCTCCCAACCCAACCTTAACCGAACTACCTGCTTAGACCATTTCACCGAGCTGCTTTTGAGTGTTATATCATCTAGCCCCCATTTCAAAACGAGCGAACCGACTTGTGTTGAAATGGACCTTTGCATCCAAGACTTTGTATTTTGCCTTCTTTTTCTTTAAGGCGGAATTTTCGTTTTTTGTTTTTTTTTT